GATATCTGAGCAGTAGCCCACTTATCACTACCCGCGCCGCTCGATGCAAAAGACAGCGCGGTCCTGATTATTCTGCGCAAAGACCGATGCAGTATGAAATTATTTTTTGTTTGTGTTTTCACTAGAGCTTTACGGACGGACACTGCCAGGGTGTCCAGCCACTAAGCAGAAGAACTATTGGGGTTGTCAACCAAAGCCTTCAGTTCTAACAAGAACCTAACCGCAAGGCAGCGGTTAAGGCGGATTGGAGGCTCATTATCAATTATTCCTCCAACATGTTTCATCGACTGGGACGCCGACTCCATTCGGACCCGCAACCTGGAGGACCAGGAGACTGGACTTCGTTTGACCTTTACCCATTGACCTTCCAGATATGATTAGATCTCCTGGCTTTATAAAGCCATCCTGTGTAGCTCGTTGGGTCATAGAGGTGCACAATCCATCACACCACATCAAGGTGCAATCTCGTGGTGATGGTGACGTTACAGTTACCATTAACCTCGCAAAAGCTAATCTGATATCTAGCTATTACATTCATTTGTGGAACTAAGCTTCAGTGTATCGCTAATCCATTTCCATTGAAATAAACCGAAAACCAGCAGTGGAAGTGATGATCTTGGATGAATACGAAAATGCCCAGTTCAAATTAACCGTTTACTTGCCGAATGATGTGCATGTTTAGTGACCAGAACAGTTCACACTGATGGACAGAAATCGTGCGGCCAATTTGCGAAGTAGGGACCCGTGAAAAAAAAACAGTTTGTAAGAAGTTGTGATACTGGTTTCACGAATTTAGCTCGTATTCTGTGCGTATCTCGACGCGTCAGACTACGCACGCCGGAACAACGCGATCATACGGATATCCCATCTCATCTGGTGATATATTTTAACGCTTTGTATCAGATACTACTTGAACAAGATTTCGGTAAGTTTAGTTCATGAAGCCAATGATCTTTCACTTTCTCCCGGGCGGGTTTGGTTATTGATTTTGGGTTATCCATTTCGTTAAACTAGTTGAGGAAATAATTATCATACATGTCGGACACGTGAATGAGAGATATCACTGAGGTGGATGATAGCAAAATTACATTGTTTTGTATCCAACAATTTCAGCCGCTTTGTTTCACTTTCCAACCATGAAGTGCGGGAATCATCGGCGATCTAAAATGCAAAGTACTGGTGTTGCCGAAAGAAGTTAAGTTTCAAGGTTTGATTACAATTCCATCAGAGTTTTCGATCCAAAGAAACGCCGGAATGAGACAAACGATGAGCTGATTGAGAAGATGTATGAAGGAGTGCCATTCTGAATAATCAATGTGAACACGCTGAGCTGGAGCAGAAAGAATTTGATCCGCGACGGGATCACAGGGCCTGGTGTGAATCTCCAAACTACTGACTTAATCGAATTGGGGAAAACGCACACGTGAAAACCCGTGAAGGGTTAATTTTGTATCATTTAATTTAAGTCCTGGGAATATCATAGATGAGCAATAGAGAATAATTGAAACAAGGATTGGAATCAGGCTATTCTCTATTCATTTTTGTCATAAACACGATTGATATTTTGCACTCGGACCAAGCATGCAGCACCATTTAACATTAGCAACGTACACATTCTTGTCGAACATAGTCCTTGTTTGTGAAGGCAGAGAATCGAGTGTCTATTCGGAGTTGTTGTTTTTTTTTGTATAACACCTTGGTGTGATCAACAGCAAACGGAAGACAAACCATAGTCACATGGACCTGCTTTTCGGTGCTGGTAATCGATACCATAAGGCCCGTCTAAATGGGGTCAGTGTAAACATGGTTTGAAAGAAAATCGTGAAAGCAAAATAATGATGATGATGATGATAACACAAAATCAATCAGATTTTGATGGTTGTTCGTTTGGAACATGTTTTCCTGTATATATGAAGTCATATAGAACAGAAACGTTTCTCGTTCAGTGGATAAAACAATGGTGTATTTATAGATGACATGGAAACTGTGCTAGTTCAGCACACATGTACGACTGAGTGATCTGCTTGCCGCTCGAGAATATATCCTAAACAATACCGAGATGTGCGAGATTTTTCGATGGATTATTTTTCCTCATTTTATGACGAGTTTGTGCTTGTGTTTCGCTCATAATTCGAAATACATTGAACGAAGTGGTTTTCGTGATATCAACCTCCGATATTCCATAGTCACATGCATGCTGTGGACAAAATATGTTAAAATGTCGGTTGTTTGGCCGAGTGAATTTTAAGTTGAACAAAGGAGATTACTGACGTTGCGATCAACTGACGTTTGGATAAGTAGATTCAGAGAGAATCTAGAGGGATGATCACATGTGATCAATTCCTGGACCGAGATTTGGTCAGGTTAACATAGTATCCTGCTCTCTACCCTCACAATCATGATAGAATAAAATCGAAACTGGTAAGAAATGGTCAATCTGCAATAGTGGAAACAATATCAATTAGACCATTGACCAAAAATCTGGTTAAAGCACTCCAGCTGACCGGATCTAGAAATGGCATCTGATTGACTGTGGTGATCTAGATATACGTAACCGCATTCCAAGCATGACCAAGTAAGGCTTAATGTCAGCCAATCAAAGTTCAGGAAGCCGGACCAATGGTACATCACATCAGAGTTAGTACACGCAATGCGTCTGCGCAAACGTTTCCAGGATTGGACGATGGTCCTTCAACCACCACTGCTTTCTATAAAAAAAACGCTCTATTTGTATGAATAAAAATCGACACTTGCTGCCACCAATGCTCCGAGTAGTTCATTGGTGTCCGCAATTCAGGTTGGAGCCAATCCCGTTCTGAGTATTATGGTACGGGTACTCGTATTCCTATATTCAATATTATTCCGATGAAAATAACTTCAGAAGCCGCATGCTANATGCTAGGGTCAACAGAATTTTCCACAGACATGACCCCGAATATTCCTCCCCACCGTGTACGTTAAAGTCTTTCATTTTTGTTCTCAGTTTAAGAAATACTTCACTTCCATTTAATAACAATTTACCGACCAACCGATAGTTCAAAGTCGTTTGTATATAAACGTGTGTATAGGGCTAGGATTGACCGCAGTCGAAGTTACGAGAACAAGCTTGTTTGTGTACTGTGAAGACTGAAAGGATTTACTGTTAGATTCGGAGACGGAACTTTCTTCGTGAGGTGTGTCACAGTGGTCAAGTGTACCGTATCAATTTGTTTCACTAATTGTGACTGTTCATTATCGTTTTTGCCTAATCTAGTACGATTGAATGAGCTGCGGTGTGTTTCGGCTTCATTCAGAGGCAGCCATTTCGAGGAAAGAGAGGAGTAGTGCGAATGGTTGAGATGTGATAATCGGAATAGTATTGAATATAGGAATACGAGAATCCGTACTGTACTGCTCAGAACTGAATAGGCTCCAACCCGAACTGCAGACACCAATGAAATACACGAGGAATTGATAGCACCAAATGTTTATGTTCGTTGATAGAATTAGTACATGTTTTATAGAAGGTAATAGGCTATATTGTTGGTTGAGGGACCATCGTCCGTTCACTTAACCGTTTGCGCCGATGCATCATATGTACTAATTCGGATGTCATGTTCACCCGGTGTACCATTGGCCGAGCTTCTTGGAAGGTGATTGGACGACATGAAGCCGTACCTGGTCGTGCCTGGAATGCGGTCACGGAAGTCTGGATCACCACAGTTGGTCGTCATCTATCATGTATCAAGGATCGTTTGCAATTGTCGCTCTAGGTTGGACGAGACCATGTGAAGGACAACAGATGATTCAGAGATGAAGTATAATGTATCACCACTAGAGATGGAGTGCGCGAGACCATTATTATTTTCTTCGTTTTTGAGGTCATTAAAATACTGATTACGGCATGAAGCAGCTACGGTTGATCCAAACTGAAACTTTCGCACACTTGTGGTGCGGGTTTTCTGTCTAGGTTGCACGATCTTTTTTTTGAGATTGCGCGTAATCCTGAGGAATGCGGTCAATGTTTTGGTGCACATTCGATGAAGCGAAACCGAGATATTTTCATTTACGTTTACCATATGATATTAAGCGTATGATGGGACCGATGGTTGTTAAATTAGGGAAAATGTTCACACTACTGATTGAATGAAACAGAAATAAATTAGTCACATGTAAAACTAAATGTGATACGCATTCATTTACACAATAACAGTTTGGATGATAAGATTTACCAAATTGGGCATCAAAGCAAACAGACAAACAAACCAGGAAAAAGTGCCCGTACCAACTTGCAAGGAGTAGACACCGTCGTTCTGCTCGCGACACAAATACGTGGGAATCTGATGGGAGCGAATGAACCGAGAAACAATTAGGTAACAATTTGGACATCATCTGACGCAAGCTTCACTGTATATGTTCATGATATGGGGTAATATGATGATAATATGATGGGAATACAATCGTTTAGAGTATTCAAGACCAGGAATGTGAACTGACATTGAACTGGGATTGGGGTTCGACTAATTCGATCGGTCGTTCACCAGGCGGTAGAGTGTGAATTGCAAGTGTCAAACACGTGTCTCAATATCTATAGTTCGATTCAGTTTTGTGATCCGGGTGAACTTATTTTTGTTAGGCTATTCATCGAATCAACCAAAAAACGAATCAAGTTAGCCGGAAGATAGAGAAACACTACATGTACTAAAGATATCGCCTGGCTTGATTCGCAATCGGTAGTTGGCGGTCCGACGGTAAAGTCACCAAGCTATAACCACACAAACGCTACATTGTTTTGCATTTGCAAGCCCGTAATGAATCAAACAGTGAGACAATACAAGAGCAATGCTTCGGTACCGTCTCGCCGTCTCTTAAAGTGAACTCCAGTTTTGGAAAGATGAATAGACAAGCAGTCCGAAGGTAATAAACACTGATCACAAAATGCACTTATTTGAGTACACCGATACTATTTGATCGGACTCGTCTATAACGGCCAGATCAACACACGTTCGGGAGTCGAGACGAAGGGATACGGAACGGGTTTCGGTTAATGCTTCATGGGAAAAGGTATTGGTCATCGATGATACTGCCCAGAAAAACTAGCCAGTTCCAACCTGTCAGACAGACGTAAAGTATGAGTATAAGTTTAATGCGCAAACAAAGGTAGAAGTTGGAATCCGCCCAACTCTTTACGCCACAGCTGTCGCGATCACCATCTCAATCCCAATGTCCGTTTTGAGCAAACAAACGTGTCAAATTTTGCACGCATTCAAGACAGTTTAAAGCTGCCCGCTTCCTTAACCTGGACCAATCTTGCAGAACAGCATCCGTCGGGATAACTCTCGTCTGTATGCGTGTGCATGAATGACAAAAAAAAATATAATCAATCACAGGGAATGGGAAATTAGGGATCGAAGGAGGGCAAGATAAGTCGTTCAGTTGGAAACCAAATGGATTAGGNCCCCCCCCCCCCCCCCCGAATGAACGCAAACTAAACAGCAACAAAATGCCTCGCAGTACACTGAATCATCACCCGCATATATAACACGTAACTTATCATCACGGCCAGTTTTAATTGCAAATGCATTTTTAGCCACTCAGCATGAAACGGATCTAAATCACAATAACAAATGTTAAAATGGTCTCCCAATTCTGCCGATCCTAAAGTTTCCATGCACAATTCATCCCTCCACTCCTCCCGCCCCCCCGAACTAAATATGTTTGCTCATAAACTTTGAGCATATGCTTATTGGTTATCGGTTTGTGATGGCACACTTTGTATCGCACCGACCATAATTGCTTGTCGTGTTCACAGTAAACTGTCCCACAAACACGGAAAACTACTCAATCAATCACTGTTTCAGTCGGAGTTAAGTTCTATCTTTCATTAATTCA